TCTCGCGCGCCCACTTAAACCGCTAAGTCAGGCGGCTCCTCCGTCCTGCGTGGGGAACGGAGACCGGCTAATAACTGGCTCTGGCTCTCTTAACAATTACAAAAAGTTTACAAAATGTTTAACCCCAAATTATTTTCTTTTAACCTCATCGAAAAGGTAATAATTGACTTGAAGTCTAGCTCGAAAGAAACATTTTTTGAATCAAAGTCAAAGTACTGCTCTTTTTTTTCGCCAGCCGTCGCGGGGGAGCCTGGCGTGACATCTCCTGCCGAGAGGACGCTGCTTCTCTCTCGTGCTGGGATGGGAGAAGCGTCCGTGGAAGACAGGAGTGAGCGCTCGCGCGTGACCCTGCGGTCCCAAGGCTGGAGCAAGTACCTCGGGCACGGTCACAGTGGGAGTGTTTTAATTCAGGCAAGGCAGGATTAGAGAAACGAGGGTCTGGGAATTAACGGCAGAATTGGCGGAGCTATTAAACGCCTTAACTTCCGTCGGCGTTTCAGGGCGTAGCAACGTGCGCACCAAAAAGCGGAAACTGGACAGGAAAAGAGATGTAGGTAGGAGCCAGCAAAGACTCCTTATCTGTCCACTTTGGGAAGGGTAACCTTTGCCTTCTGAGCCCAAAACAACTTTCCTTACTTGCCAACTTAGCACAGAAAGCAGATTTATGGGTTTAGCAGTGAGAGAACAAAACAAAAAAACAACACACGCAACACCCCGGGACCTGTAGAGGTCCAAAAAATGCAAGGTGTGGTGACGCTGGGGAAACCGCCGTACGTTTACTGCAACGTTTGAGACGTTTGAGATTGGCGCCACCTTCCAACAATTCAACGCTTAAAACTTTCCTGCAGAAGTCCAAAACGTCAACAAGCCCAAAATATCAAAGTGCAGACAAGTCACTTAATTAGGACAATCTAATAAAATATCAGACTATTAATTACACGTGAGCAGGGTATACGGCCATCTCAACATCAATAAACTCGCTGTGCAAAGTCTGTTTGCTAGCTCCAGTACTCAAGGGAACGATCACTGTAACAAATGATTCATTCACTCGAGTACTTTAAGGATGGAAAAAAACTTCCCAGCCCAGTCAGGTTCAGCCCGTAGCATACGTTATGCCAGGACTTAAGACTGCCCTAGATTTATGTCTTGGCAATGACTGCGAAGCCCAGTAGTGTATGCTCTCCGTTTAATAGCTACCAGGGAAGGGGGGACTTAGCAGAGTTGCCATGGTTTAATGGGACAGAAGAGACCCTGAGAAAGAAACCCGCAGCAGGCCGTTGGGCAAAGCCCTTGCCCCAGCGCGTTGCCTCCCTTCTCTGGCGGAGAGGCTTCTCCCGAGCCTGGCCCGGGAAGCGGGAATGCGCAGAAAGGTGGAAATTCTGAGAAATTTCCATGCAAAAGTGCGGAAATGCCCGGTGCGTGCAGGGAGGGGGCAGCGGCAGGGCTCCAAGGCTGATCTGGGCCGTGGATCGGGGCAGGCCGGCCGTGGGGACAGCGGGGCAGGGGTGGGCGAGGAGCTGCCGGCGGCAAGCAGGAGCTCTCTTGGGCACGGCATCGCCTTCGTTTCTTCTCGCCCCGTCGTTTTGTAGTGGTTTGTTGCTTTGCTGTAAGGGGCTGGC